AGGGGGGGGGGGGGGGGGGGGGGGGAAAGAACATTTTGAAGATTCTTCCCACATTTCCTGGAAAAAAATGCTAAAGGGTAGAAGAATTTTCAAGGTCAAGAGAAATAACTGAAAATAAATAAAAATCAACTTATTACAGAAGCCTTGAGGCTCCAATGGACTGCTCCCAAGGAAACAGAATTTTGGAGATGTGCTAAGTCATCAATCCAAAAAGGAAGAATGAAGAAGAAAAAAATGTTTTGCTTGAATTTGAATTCGGCCTTATCTAATCTGGCACTTTGGAACCAATACAGAGCAAAATGTTGAAAAGTCTTTGACATTTGCATGTCTCCCAAATTCTACACTGCACTTTGCCAATAATAATTAAAACATACAATAGTGAAAAGTCTGTCCAGAAGTGCCTTATATCAGGGCATGCAGCTGCAAAAATAGTATATTATAGGCAGAATTGCAATCAGACAAGCATGAGTTTGGAGAAACATCAACAAAAATATATACAATTTTATACAATATTTCCTGTGTAGAAAAATAGACATAAACAAAAAGACAAATGTTAGTGGGAACTTTAAAAAAAATCAAACTCAGTTTACATATTTGCAAAGGGTGTTTTTATGCGGTAGTAACTAACTCAATCTTAATGCTAATCTTTATGAAGTCAAAAGAGACCTACAGACCAACAATATTATTTGCAGAGTGAAAGGACAGATGGGGGATCAATAGATAAAGGGAAAGCTGGAAGTTTAAAATAATCCTGTGAGGAACACCAGGTATATTTAATGGCCACAAAATATTAGCTTCACATAGGAGAGAAGGCAATACGGAGATTGGAGGAATGGAATAGAATGGGATATTCCAGAAGAGGACATGACTCAATGCTCTACTCTGCAAATTTTGATTGCAAATTCTGTGTGCAAGCCTTGTGTGTTTAATTCTATTTCTGCTTTTATCCAACAGGAAACCAAAAAGTAACAGTTGAAAGAAGAAACCGTTTCGAGGACAGAAAACACAGTCCGTCTTTACCCAGCAAATTTAAAGACGTACTCATTCATCTGATGTTTATCAGCTCCTTGTCTCTTCAATGCAGGGCCTAAATACTAACCTCAGCAAAGACAAGAGTTTCATGTACGATTTATCAAAATATTCCGATCTCAGGTATGTTTCTTGTACTTCGTGAAAGATCAACACTCTTTCTTAAACAATTGTTTGTATTCCTATGGCTTGTAAGCCTTTCATACTTGCTACCACTCTACTCTTGGTCCCCCAGTGAATTTGACATAATAGCAACGTTGACATGTTAGCATGGGGGAGAGAAAGGAATGCCTTTTTCTTTTGCAAACACCATGATTAGTCAATATCAATTGCTATTGCAGCCATGCTATTTGCAAAAGAAGTCATTTCTCTCTTCTCTTTTCAAAAGCAAATAAAGGCCTGTATCTGTGCAAGAAGTCTAGTAAGAAATGACTAGGTATCCAAATAAACTGGGGTCCAGAAATGGCCAGAATAAACTCCAACACTGTTATTTTATAAAAATCTGAAGATTGCTGGCTGATCATTTTGGTCCAAGTCAAACATCAAACCCACTCAAAGGCTGGAGGGACTTAAAGAAAAAGAAGAAGAGGGATACCTATAGGTCTTTCAACATTAGCCTTACTCTGAGCCCTAACCAATCATGGTTGATCTGAAAAAATGAAGCAGGCATACTACTTGGATGGGAGACTACCAGGACATCCCAGGGATATAGGCTATCTTGCAAATTTGAAAAAAAAAATCCAAACCACTTCCAAGAAAACTACATGGATGTGTCCCTGAAGCTGCTGGGAGATGAGCTTGATTTGAAGGAGATTTGAGAATTTAACTTTTTCTCACTGTTACTATGTTCCTAAGGACTCAAAGAAGGTTTCAACAACTTACAAAGTAACTTTTTTGGGATAAAAACTTGTGAATTGGCAGGTGGGTCTCCATAATCTTTCAACAGGCTTTCTTTGTTTTGTGTGGTTAGCCTACAATACAGCTGCCATGGGATTCCTGAGCAGAACTTCTATAAATAAGACCTGGTACCCATGTTGTGCTGGGCCAAATTTATTTAATCATGGTTATTTTGAATAGTGGACTTTGAAGAAGCAGGATAGAAAGAGTATTGATGCTTTTGACCTTTGGTACTGGAGAAGATTCCTGAGAATACCACGGATGCATCAGACCAGTTGATCATATCAACCCAGAGTTCTCACTCAAGGTACAGATGACCAGCTCAAATTATTCTACTTTGGACACATTATGCAAAGACCTAGCTCTCTGGAGAAGTCCATAATGCTGGGAAAGTTGGAAGGAAAGTGACGAAAAGGTTGACCAGCAGCAAGGTGGATGGACTCAATTACAACAGCAATGCATACACCACTGGAATACTTGAAAGACCAGGTAGGAGACAGACCCTTCTAGAGAAAATCTATCTATGTGGTCCCTGAGAGCTGACTCACCTGATGTCACATAATCAATCAATTTTGAATACCCCACAACTGTCTGGAACAGGAAACAGCAAAGCCAGATCTTCATAGATGATACTTAAGAAATGCAAATATTTTGAGTTACTTCCAACTAATTGATTCTTTAGCTTATTATTAAGGAGGCTGTTTGATATTTCATGGATAAATATAAGCAAACTTAGTATGTTGGGCCAGCTGAACCCTTGAGGGTTAAACATGCTTTCCTTTGGCCATGTAACCTGCATTTCCTTTGACAAGGCAACCCAGCTTAAAAAAGTTAAACTGTAACTATATTTTATAACCTAACTTTTCCTCAAGGAAAGCAAAACACAAACACCAAAATGGAAGACCAGGGATCAAAGGGCCATACAGTAAACATTAATTGCAGTTACATATTTCAATGTTCATGGCTGTTGGGGGGAGGGAAATCCATAGAAAAAGCATGGCTGCAATTGCTATGAAAAATAAATGGGGTTAACCTAGCTAATTATTTCCAGGTGATGTTTACTCAGTCGGACCTTATCTAGGAAAGATTTCAACGGTTTTTATGACTGAGATGAAATTATGACCCTCCTGAAGTCAAGGTGGGTTCTGTTATGGATTTCAATGGGTCAGCAATTCATCCTGGCTTTCTTCTTAGTCTTCGTCTTCTTCCTCTTCCTCTTCTTTTTCAAGTTTGCATTACTAAAGGCCAGTGCTACTCCAGGACTCAAGTGATGAGAAAGCAATCCAAAGATTTGTCAATAAATCCTCAGATTTACACATTTTGGATTGCATTTTGCAATCCCCACATTGCAAATGCTTTGGTGGCCCTACTGGAAGTTCTCAGGACCCAAGTCCACAACTCTTCAGCCTGGGGCAAAGGGAGTCCATAGGCTCACCTGCATGGTGACAGTGTCTTTTTTTAAAAATCAGGGATGTTGTAAGTAGAAGGTGCCTCACCTGGACATATGCATGGTTACAGAAGCTGGTGGATTTATTTTTATTGTACTTTTAAAATATACTGTTCTCTTCTAATACAACAGTTGTGTTTTTCTTGCTGCTTGGAGCCAGCTCTTCTTCCTAGGGTCCAAAATGACCCTGCCTATCCAAGTTATAGAAATGGTGTGTCCTGGTGGACATTTGTTGCTATAGATTTTACTGACTGAATTCATACAACATACCCGTCCATCGGAGAGTCTGCATGATATGGCAGGTAAGGAGCCAAACTGGGGTTGGGGAGATCCAGGTGCACATCTACCTTCAGCCATGACTTTGGCCCAGGTGCTCTGGCCCCAATATACCCCATACCCCATTGGATGGTTGTTTGGGGGGAAAATTGGAGAAGGAATAGCTAAGTATTGAGCTATTGGGGGAAAGGGAGGATATAAATTTACAAATAAATGTGATTTGCCTGATTCTGACATAGAGTGCCAACTGATCCCAGCCACTGCAGTTTTTAAACCATAGCTTATGGTTTAGCCCGTGTGAACTCATCAACAGAACAACCAATGTGCAAAGCCCAACTATTATTGTGGGTAAACCATGGCTTATAGCTTAGCCTGTTGTGTAAACCCAGTCAACTCTGGCTTCCTCAGTAAACCAGGGTCAATCTGCATGCCACATGATTGCCTTTGATGTTCAGTTAGTTTTACTCATTTCTGACACCACAGCAAAGGAAGTGAAAGCAGCAGTGACAAAAATTAGGTTCAGATCAGGGCTTTCTGCTGCTTGCGTTTGAGCAAGATACCTCAATTGCGACACGCAAGGATTCTGGCAAGCCAGCAGGCAGGGTGGCTGAGTTCCTGGACTTAATATTGCCCCAGACACTCTGGAACTTGGCTAACCCACTGGGTTCTCCAACAACATCATTCAAGCAAACTCTTCATCTAGGCTGGCTAGCTGGGGCGGATGGGAAGTTATGGAAGGAGAAGAATTTCGCCCTTTCTCATTTCTCTTGTTTGCTAAGAAAGGAATTCTACTCTGCTGCAAGAAAGGTGTTTGTACAAAAAAGGTCAAGGAACGCCAGGCTCCAGTTCCATAGCATCATTGTTGGGCCAAACCAAATATGATGTTCCCCAACTGCCAAGATTAATTGTGTAGTTCAAATATCATGCTTGTTTAAAAACATATGGAGGAGGTTCCCTATTGAGTTCTACACAATCACATACCTGATTGTATGACCACTCGCTTGGACCCAGGACCAGTTTTGATGGGAATCAAAGGAAAGTTGGCTGTGATCCTACACATCCTTACCAGGAGGTAAGTCCCCATTGAATTTAGTGGGGCTGGCTTCTGAATAACAGTCATGTGTGTTTGTGCAGGTCCAGGGAAGCCAAGACATCAGTCTACAATGAAACAAAAGGAGTAGACAATATTTGCTAATCCGATGAGCAACACACGAGATGAATTACTTAGATATCAATGTAAGTCAAATTTTAGGACCAAGCGTTAGTTATTAATTTATTTGCAAATAGTTTTCTGCACTACTTTCTTCCATAAGATGCCCAGAGTGGCTCTCCAGAATGAAGCACCCAATAAATACAGCATAATGTAATACAACAGGATTGTCAATCAAAGGCAGGGCAACCAGATAATTAAAATTAGTTCCATAAGAAGAATCTAATCCATTATCACTTAATGCATAGGAAGCACTAATCCAGGAAGCACTTAGATCTCCTTCACAAAAGCTTTTCAGAATGTGGTGTCACGCAAGAAAAGGCCCTACTTGACCCAAATCAGTCTGTTGCACCAGACCTCCAGAACATTCAGGCCAATCACTATGGGAGTAGTAAACTCTTAAAATAACGTTCCCAAACTGCTTACGGCAGCTTTCAGATACATGAAGTTCTTCATTGGATTGGAATCTTTTAATGCTTTATTCCCCCAAGCAAAAACTAGACTTTGTGTAGCTTTTTCAAGGTCAGCCAAGGTTGGCTGGACCATAAAGCACTGGCAATGTTTACTCTTTCTAGGAAGATCAATGCCTAAATCATGCAAAGATATTATAAACTCATCCTAATAATGTCATTAGCATACTCCCAAATGTCCATGGGGAAAACGTAAGCTGATCTGGCTACTTCTGGTAATCAGACCAGCAGAAAAGATATCAGCCTTGATTCTCAGGCACCAATGTAAGATCTAAAGGCCTATGCTTGTGGGCTAACAAATATTATACCACAAAAAGTTGCTTTCTGATAGGAATGTCTACAAGAATGCCAAATACATTCACAAAATAAATAGTAGCTACACCAGAATGCATATTTAAAGCTACAAGTCTTCCCATACAGCGCATACTATTTCCCCTTTTGTCCTCTCTACCCACTGATATCCAATATAATATAGTAAAATGTCTTAACAAATGACTTTTTGTTTAAGGTTAGCAACTTTTACTTGATCACTTGAGATCAAAAGTTCCTGATCTCCCTGCCATGTAAATGGTCAACTGTTCTGCAAACTGAAGTTGTCTATCCTCTTTTGTTTATCTCCTCTTTCTTGTTCCAATGGGCACTTCACTTTGCAATCTGGTAAATGGAGCCCTGGTCCATTTAAAAAGTAAAGATGTCCTTGAGTGAGACTCAGCTCAAGCATCCAAGCCTCTTTCTTAATAGGGTTATGGTTTGTCCATTGCTTGCCTTCATTCAAGATATTTCCCAAACTAGCCAACAGCCCTGGGGTTTCCAGGTAGTCTGACACCCAACTTCTAACCAGGATTGACTCTGCTCAGCTTCCCAGATCAGCCAGGTTCAGCTGGGTGTTGCCTCCTGCTGAGACTCTGTTGCATTTGGAGGTCTTCAGATTCATGCTGCTGAGCAAGCTGTCCCACCAGGGCTGGCTTATTGTACTTGGAGGAGTCATACAACTTTCCATTGGGAGAGGGAGAATATCTGTACCACTAGGAAATCCACAAATCTACCTACGTACATACATGTCACTTTGTTTTCTTTTCAGAATAAGCAACATTATGGAGAGCTCAGAAAAGGAGTAAGAAATAGTACACCCAAGGAATTAAAGGCATGAGATCAGAAAAACAAACATAGCTAGAACTAGTAAGCACCAATATAATACCTCTCCATAGCTTTCTATTCTTACTTGGTTCAGCGCACCATTTCTCATACACTGCCTTTTGTTCTTCAAACTTCTGGCCTCTCTCTTTTTGGGATCTCATCAATTATATCCAGACACAGCTTTCTATGTCTCCTCAGTCCATTTGCTTGTCCTTTATATATTTCTTTTGCAATTCTATCCTCATTTGTTCTCTCTCCATACAACTGTTGTATTATTGGCCACTCCCATTGGCATTCAGTCCACATTTATTTAGCAGCCATTCACTCCAGACCCTCACTTTTCTTGTGTTAGCATGCAAACGTCTTAGCATTTCGGTCCCTCTGAATTCAACTCATTTTAGGTTGATGTACCCAACCCTCAGTTCCACGAAATGAGGTGGACAGAAAATGCTTTTATCCACAGCCATTTCCACTTTGTTCTATAGACATCATTCCACGCTACAAACCACCCACCACCCACTACTTTTCAGCAGCATTTGCATTGTTTTAAAATGTCTCCATCCGTTTTCCACATCTTTAGTAAGCCTTCTAGCAAGACACACAAACTCATCTATTTACTGTAGTTGTTGCCATTTATTTCTGACTTGCAATTGCTTATACTGTTTTTGCTGCCAAAGACAACTGCCTGGGTCTCCGATGCATTGTCTTTTTGCACCATACAATTTAATGTTTCTGTATTTGCTAGAGTCATATCTCCCCTTTTCACTAGGAGTTCAAGGCGCTGCAGCTCATTCATGTTCTCAGCCAACTGCAGAATATCATCTGTATACAAAAGTATATAACCCCAACCCAATTCACATCCACAAACAACACACAGGAGTGGTTTTCTCTCCAATTATACAATTATTCAGTTACACTTTTGATGATCAGATCTGGCTCTAGCTAAGTGATACCCATACTTGGCCTATACTGCAGAAGTCCCTAATTCCACCTTAGATTCGTAACTGAAAATGTAATCTTTGTATTTCATTGATTGCTTGACTTTAATTACGTATGTATGTATGTATGTATGTATGTATGTATGTATGTATTTATTTATTTATTTATTTATCATATTTATATAGCTGCCCATCTCATAATCAAGAAAATATGACCTTTTCTTACCAAACTGGAAAAAAATCCCCTTCTCACTGCCTTAAAACTTGCATAAAACAGGATCTAGGATGCACTATCCTTCCCATTCCTTTTTTTTTTTTCATCATTTCCCTGAAAAAAAGAACTCGTGTAATGGTTCTTCCTCTTGTTCCATGGCATTTCTGCTGAGAGCTACTTTCCCCATGCCCTTAAAAAGTACTTTAAAATGCTACAAGGCTAAAGGTATGAAATGGGATCTTGACAGCCACATTGCAGGAAGTATCATTTAACTTTTTCCTCCTATGATTTCTGGAGGAAAATTAGTCCTGTTCTGGAAGTTGTAATTTGCTCTCCTTGTGCAAAATTATCATTTATCTACATTGATAGGTTTTGACTGAGCTAGGAGGATCTTTCAGAGAGGGAAGTATCAGGAAAAGGGATTTGATACCATAGTCCAAACTTCCTTCCTTCCTTCCTTCCTTCCTTCCTTCCTTCCTTCCTTCC